GCTCAATCTCCAAAGGCAAAAAATATAAAACTTCATCTGTTTGGTTGATTAAATTATCGCTTATTGTAATAACACAGGTTACAAGAACATGACCCATTAGTAGTCGCTGTCAGATCTTCATTTATAACAGTTGAGACGTGATTTTAATCAGACTGGAATCAAACGTGTCGTCTGGTATGAATGGTTAGTGTGTTCTACGCAACTATGCGTATTTTGCTATTTACATAATGTGAAATAACTATGGGGAATGTACATGTCTGACATCAGTTTCTACAACAAACACAAGCCCGAAACACCTAATTGACAAATCAGTTATTAACAATATTTTAATGAATCACGTGATGGCTTTAAGTTACAATTTTGAGAGAGAGAGAGAGAGAGAGAGAGAGAGAGAGAGAGAGAGAGAGAGAGAGAGAGAGAGAGAGAGAGAGAGAGAGAGAGAGAGAGAGAGAATGGGTGGGTGGGTGAATGAGAGAGAGAAGGTGGGTGAGTGGGTGTGTGGGTGAGCGGGTGGGTGGGTGGGTGGGTGAGTGAGTGAGATACGGATATACTATAAGTAATCATGTACAAGCTTATGATGAGTCAGAAAATTCGACTTCTTACTCTAAAAAAATCTTACACAGATGCAAACACGTTAAAATTTAGATTATAAGATAGTTGTGATGAACGTCGAAAAAGGTCAATATGCGCAGTGATAAAGAGCAAATTATGATTTAGAAATAGGATCCTACGGTGATCTTAATAATGGTTACACTCCAAAATTTAATATGACGCAATTTCGGGTGCTTCTCCCTAATTGTACAACAATAACTAAATTGCATGATTAATAACGGAATCATACTTGAAGTACTGTTTTGTTGTTATTTATCATTCTTACAGACTATTTCCTTTTACAGTGTGTTAAGTCAGAACAGTTCAGTGTTTCATAATTTATAAGTAGTTGAATTCACTTGAGGATGGGTCAAGGCATGCGTTAATCACGGAGAAAAGATCGAAATAATACAAGGACTTATTGACCTCGTCTCTAGCTTATCTGTGTTTTATTTTTAAGGTAATGCGGACCAGCAAACACACTGGAATCTCTTTTGCACTGGTTTGCTAGTGATGTTTTTATGTAACTTTATCTTATTAACTATATATTGTCTATTCATGTCATGACAAATTTCTCGCAAATGGACAAATATTGATCAATTAATGGTATGCATTGTTTATAGGGTGTACGTGTGTGTGTCTGTCTCTGAGTTAAATTTTTAACGTAGCTTTAACAATTTTAGTCACATAGTGGAGCTTTGTTCTGCTAGGAGTCTTTTAGAAACATGCCGCAGGCCAACAAGTGAAGGTCACTTGCTTTTACTTCAGACCTCTTCTGTTTTCGTCAATCGGATATCGTGATCCATAACAGCGGAAATATCGTATAACCTTTTTTGTTGCCATCATGTCATGCAGCTGTTTTTGCGCAAGTTCCGCATGACACCAGCATGCCACTAAGGCAAATGGAGATGATGAAATCATACAGCGTTTATATTGAAAAATCTAACTTTGTGCGCGTCTTGCTGTCCACATGTCAACTTTGGCTCACTTGCATCAACCCAAATTGTATATTTTTTTTTGGGACGCGCAGAGTGTTTGATGTGTTTCTGTTTTGTGTGCAGACCTTTATAGATGATACTATGGTTGTCATATTTGCACATATTTTTTCACCTCTGGCAAAAATCGAAACGCAGACCTTTCAACCCATAATCACGAGCGATACGCGTAAACCTAGTAATCCAGTTACTACCGTAATACTAAAAAAAAATGATAGAAGTTTTATGTGAGTACTGAAATATGATATTTTCTGCGCAACCACACAAATGATTGTACATTTTGTAGTATGGCTGATCATTAGCTTTGATAAATCAGGTTTTGATGATTTCAATTCAACGTTGTGGCATGTCATCATCTCCATTTACATTAGTAAAATGTCTTACCACATTATGGTAGGCATGTACCAGCAAATATTTATATTTGTAATATGATACCTCTCGTCTTATTACGTCAGTAAATATAGATTTGGGCAAATTAAAATACGTCAGTCTTACAGGTCAGTAAGTATATTTTTTATTTTATTGTTGTATGATTATTCAACTGAGTTGGTATGTTATGTTTGTGTAGTCGAGTAGTCGGAAAATTGAGAATACTAAAATTTCTCTAAATTTTTAAAGGTATTTATTTATTTGCGTGTGGGCAAAGTCACGCGAGAAGGATGTCACACTATTGTAATTCGCACTGTAAACAAACAAGATCCTTTGTTCTACAATTTAGACATTATCCTTGCATAAATTCTCATAACAAGCCTTGAACACAAATGTCACAAGTCAATTTAGACTGGTACCTGTATTAAGGCTAAATCACATAATGTTATCAGTCAAATTAGACTGGTTCCCGTATGAAGGCCAAATCACATAAATGTCCTCAGTCAAATTAGACTGGTTCCTGTATGTAGGCCAAATCACACAAATGTCAGCAGTCAAATTAAACTGATTCCTGTATGAATGACCAAATCACAACAGTGCTACAGACTGATTATTTGGCGAATACTGTGAATTAAAATCGATAGCATGTCTTTTTGCGAGCACGGTTTAAAATGACACTATAGAAGGTTATTACCAGTAAGAAATTCCAAAGTCAAAACAAATAATTTGATTCCACATTGTCAATTAGTTTAACTCTTTCCCCGTCTACACTGAAGATAAGAATATAAAATTCAAAATTTTCCATAAAAAAGTTTCATACGCTATTAATTTTCACGGCATAGTTCATTAAATGGATTTGTTTTTTATTTAAATATTTTTAGACACATTCGATTATTTAGAGCAAAAGTAATCCAAAGTACAAAAAATGATATAATCAAAATGAACTAATTTTGAGGGAATATATTAGCGACTTAAGTAGTTTCTACAATCTGATTAAAGTCAGATCTCCACTGTACTATGTGCAATCTGACAGCGACAGGTTAGGGGTCATGTTTTAGTTACCCATGTTATTATCATAATCTCAAATGTTATTAGCCAATCGGATGATGTCTTATATTTCGCATTTGGGAGACTGAGCCGTATGGCTGAAGAACATCAGTGTGTGTGTTTGTGTGAGTGTGTGTGTATGTGTGTGTGTGTGTGCGTGTGCCTATTTATTTGATTCACTTTCAAATTTCTAAAAGCTACATTTCCATTGGCTAACGAAAAGATCACCAGAACATGATCCCTAAGCGGTCGCCGTCAGGTCTTCAACCAGGATAGTGGAGATCTGATTTGAATTAGATCGGTACTCTGTGTTTCAAAAGGCATTGGGGCCCTGAGTGGCCGAGTGGTCTAAACGCTGCCCGTTACGGATCACTGCCATCTCACCTCTGTCTGCGTAGGTTCGAGTCTATGATTCGGCGAATGTGGATATGTGAGAAAGCGTGCCAGTAGCTTCTCGTGGGTCGGTGGTTCTTTCCGGTGATTTCCCGGTTTCTTCCTACACCATTAATACTGGCCGTTATGAATAGCCTATCGTGTGCTGAAAAATGGCGTTACGCCCAACAACAGCATCAAAAGGCATTGAGACTCAAACATTGTTAAGCAAGGTAGTTGCAACAGAGCTTGTAATCGATAATGGTCACTTAATACCATTCTAAATCATAACAGTCTTGATATCTTTGTATTAGTAGATATCATCGAATCTAATAGTCAGCATCTTTGAGCTATGCAATCTTCGTGGAATACTGGCGAAATTACTGATATTGTAAATTTATATAAGTTATCATTATATAGTTTACTATTAAATTTATGTTTTTGTAAATTTCGTTTCAACACTTCTTCGTCCAAAAAATCTCACTCATCTCGCTCTTTAGCGATAAATTTTTCTATGATAACTTTATTCATCCCTCGTTTTCTGTACATCCAAATTTAAATCGAAGAAAATAATCCTTCCTAAAGAAACGAGTTAAATTGTACGATTGTCGAGTAGAGATTTTAGTGAGCAATGAAAGGTTTAAAACGAACAAAGAAATGAACTAGCACCACGTCACTTGTATCGGTGTATCATTTACACGCTATAGTTCATCCAGTACGCAGGCGGCAAAGTTAAATACCAGCCAGGTTGGAGCTAGCACAGCGCACTACGAAGTCAAGAAACATGAAACCCAATTTGTCAAAATCGAATAAACAATTCGCTAACATTGTTTTCTGTATGGCTACTTTCTAAAAAAATGAAATAAACACCTACAAGTTCTAAGAACAACGAATTCGGTAAACAAATAGTCAATTGTTTAATACAGATATACACGATCAAAGAGTGTTTGTAGATTAAGGGCTTTCTTTATTAGGGGTAAATATCTTTCTTTTAATACCGAGTTTTGCATATCAGTTGAATCGTCTTATTTCCAAGCATCACGTCACAGACTAGTTGTTATTGATTAATTTTGAACGGCACTTTCAAAACATTATTTACTATATTATTATGCATAGAAAATATGGAGTCTTGTGTTTTTTCCAAGGACTAACAGAGGTAATCGATCTCAACTGGCCTAGGCGGGAGTCGAATTCATTGCATTAGGATCCCTGGCGTTTCTTTTTAAAACATACAGGAAGAAATTTGACAAATTAATTCTTCAATTTTGGGAAAGAATATCTCCGGCAGAAAGCCCCACAAAAATCAGCGGTATAATCATACGAAAAATATTAATTGCAGGGCAGGCAACGTAACATTTGTCTAATCTTTGCACCGAAATTTTTATGTGTTTGCAATGTATAAGTTTAATTGAAAACGGTAATTCAAATATAACAACAGATCCACCGTACCACCTAAATCAGCCACTGATTTAATCAATGAAGAGTTCCTGTAAATAGTGAAATACAAGGTTCGCAAAAATATTAGATAAATAACAAATAAATTCAAGACTTTGCTTCAAGCACTAATTTCCCCAACAATTTTTTAACTATTGCTTCCTCCCTAATAAATATTCCTTTCTCATAGGGAGTCGAGGTAACTCAGTTGATAGAGTGTCAGATTCGTAATCCAATGGTCGCGGGTTCGACACCCGCCCAGGCCAACCCTTGTCGGAGGCCTCGGTGTGCCTTTGAGAAAGGCACTTAGTTCTCGACAGAGTCTTGAGAGCGTCGTTGAAACCAACCAAAGCAATCTGTCTCAGCAAGGAAATGCGAGACAAATCAAGATACTTCACCATACAAACAATGAATATTTGAAAAAAAAATGTATAAAAGTTGGCTGAATTCTTTGTAAGAGTGTTATATTTCAGCTATCACCTGGGCATAAACTCTATGGAGTTAATCTTGCCAGAGCCGCATGTAATGATTATATAGCAGACGGCTGATCCAGGTCGGCAAATCCCTAATCTAGAGAAATCTAAACTAAATCAGCTGAACTAAGCAGATAACTGAAATAAGTGTTAACTAGACTCATGGGTATTTTTTAAATCAGGGTAGTTATGAACGTTTAATTATAACGGTAGATTTGCTATTTCCCTGTCTTTCCATCAAACACTAGTAATTAGGGCGCGCAGCCGATCCATAACATACTGGTGCCGCATATCAAGGTATCGAAGGTGATTAATTTTATTTGTTTTAAAGTTTTGCTTTTGTTTAGTGAATTTTAAACGAAACTTAACTTCCGGCAGTATTTCAACCGGAGGATTTACTTCCTAATGAGTGATATCATGTCATAACTACAACATCATTCTGTTCAATTTTCGATTTATATACGGTAGAGTCATTTTCGGTTTTTATATCTAGTTACATAGGCTAGAACCAGCTCAATACAGCTCTAATGCAGAATCATTAAAATCAGGCAAAATCTAGCTTTCCAGACATCTCCAAGGCCTTGTTTTAATTAATTTTTTTGTTTGACTGGGAAATAATTAAATTCATGGGAAACCGTTACCGCCAAAAATATAAAATAAATTAAAAGGTGTACATAAATTAAGGAGCAGGAGACCAGAATAACAGATTGGGTAATCAATTTAAATCACAATTAGTCTGGTAAATGATGTGCATGTGTGAGAGTTTGCTTCGGAAGGACACATAATTATTGTCAAGACGAAGATACCGTGACCAAATTGTTACAATCAAACAATACATAGTACATATTTTAAAATCACGTGCATGTCCAATGTCGACCGTCATAGCATTTGAAATGTGATCATTTTATACAGCCATGAAAAGACCTCACTTTATACAGCAAAATTTTGGCCTAACTCTATACACTGGTGGTAATTAAGACCTCACTTTATACAGCTAAATTAAGGCCTAACTTTATACACTGGTGTTAATTAAGACCTCATTTTATACAGCTAAATTAAGGCCTAACTTTATACACTGGTGGTAATTAAGACATCACTTTATGCAGCTAAATTAAGGCCTAACTTTATACACTGGTGGTAATTAAGACATCACTTTATGCAGCCATGGCAAGGCCACATTTTATACAGCCACTGTGTGACGGTTTAACCCCTCCTAGCTTTTTGAGGGTGGGTGTTTTCCATTTAGTTATTGTTGTCAATAGGTGGTTGCTGACGGTGAAATTTGCCCGGAACGAGCAAAAATCAATAGAAATTGAGAAAATGTCGGGTGGAATAGATAAAAAATGGAGCAGATATATATATATATATATATATATATATATATATATATATATATATATATATATATATATATATATATATATATATATATATATAATAGAATAAAACGAGCCACGATTACAAATAAAGACAAATTTAATCAAAATCTCGTGGGACCTTGAGGGGCCGAGTGTTCTAAAGCGCTCTCCGTTACTTATCACTGCCATCTCACCTATGTCTGCGTGGGTTCGAGTCTAAGATTCGGCGGATGTGGATATGTGGGAAAGCTTGCCAGTAGCTTCTCGTGAGTCGGTGGTTCTTTCCATGGATTTCCCGGTTTCTTCCTCCACCATTAATACTGGCCGCCATGTATAGCCTATCGTGTGCTGAAAAATGGCGTTAAACCCCAGAACAACAACAACAAATCAAAATCTCTAACAATACAGTTAAAAACCAAAATAATAATAATACAATACAATAGAAAGATACACTTATTTCTTTTGCCTTAACTTCTTGCACGAAATTTTCGAATACAAGAAATAATGATACCAATAACCTATCTGATACAAGACAGAATTTAAAGCATCATTTTGATCACATTGAGTATATCGAAGTCATTGTTTTGTGCAATTTTCGTAACATGATAGTCTTGTTTCGGTCCGAATTCCGCCGTGGCTATTCCTTTTGACTCCCCTGCGCTAGCAAGTCCAGGTCTCCTTCACCTTGACTTTCCGTTTCCAAATTTTAAATTTTGCATCCACTTTGTATTCGATAGACTTAATGCGTAGAGTGTAGACCTCGGAGCTATCCTGGCCCTTGTTTCTCAAAGATCTAACTTCCAGAAATTGTCTGTCAATTTTCCCAGACAATTCATTTGCCTGGATAAATTTAAACGAGAGATTTACTCATTAAATCCTCAGAGTATTTCTTTGTATATTCACTTATGTAGGGAAAATCGTATACTAAATGTTAAAATTTACATTTGCACATTCAAACTGAAGATTTGTTTCGTGTGAAACCACGCCCCTTCACAGCGTAACCAATCAGAATTACAACAAAATATCCCGCTTTCCCAAGCATCAAAACACTGCAATAGGTCTATCAGCAAGGCTACCGACTGGTTCCTGGTCAATGTCTAAATTGTCAGCTTCCATAAAACCATAACTTGAACTCCGTTCAGGTAAGTTTAAACAAACTAAGCCCTTAATAATAAATCAGTAACTCCTGACTTTGGCTGAACCAATCCTTACATTATGGCTCTGTAAATGTGGACATTCCCCATAAATCTCGTTAATAGTTTATGTGTTTAACTAAATGTGTTCTAACACAATTAACAAAAGCAAAACAAAGATCGATTAAAATATTTGACTTTTTACACATTGTAATGCCTCGTTTTATACAGCCACGGAAAGACTTAACTTTATACAGCAATGATAAGGCATAACTTTATACAACCATGGTAAGGCCTTCTTTTATACTGCCATTATAATGCCTCGCTTTATACAGCCATGATAAAACTTCGCCTTATACAGCCGTGGTAAGACATCACTTTATACAGCCGAGGTAAGACATCATTTTATACAGCTATTATAAGGCCTTTGATAGAGTCATTATAAGACATCGCCTCGAATGTTAAAAATCTGCGTGTAAACCATATTTTGAACAATGGCGTTCTGACTATCGGTAAGGCGTAAAGAAGAGCTACTTAAATGATGTAAGACAAAGATTTACAATTCACATTCTCGACCGTGTGACCCTCCTCTCTCTCTCTCTCTCTCTCTCTCTCTCTCTCTCTCTCTCTCTCTCTCTCTCTCTCTCTCTCTCTCTCTCTCTCTCTCTCTCTCTCTCTCTCTCTCTCTCTCTCTCTCTCTCCAATACAAATAGGCAACAGTTTAAAAATAAAAATCAACCGAAATTAGTTATGCCCGTGCGGGTGGATGTAATTTAAAAGGTATATTCAGACACCTTCTGCACTTATTACAGAGATATATGATGTTTTTTTCTTATGCTGTTCCAACCACATGCTGTCTGAATGTGACACTGTCATTCCAGTTATTCTGTATTAGTATCAACAATGAAACAATCACATTTATCTTCGTTAACATTACCTGCTGTTCAGTCATACAGCAGAAAATCGATGGAAGCAACGGAATATTCACTGTCTGAACCGTAGTCATTCTCTTGGTCTTCCAGAAATAATTTGATAAATGATGATAATGCCAAAATGAAGACTTCTTCACAAGCTACTGCAAGATTCGAGGAAGCATTACAGCAGTATTCACTTATACCAGTTTATTAAGAACAATGGATATACACGTAGCTGCACTGGCTTTGTAATAAAGAGGTATTCCTCTAAGTACATTCAATCAGCTAATATATCATTTCAAAAGAATAAACTAAACAACGCAAAACAAGAAACAGAAAATATAAAGTGACAACAATTTATACCACTAAATCATAAACAGACGGAAAAAAACAAAATCGAAGAGGACTGAAATATTCGTTATCTAAATCAAAACATTAGACACCTCTCTCTCTCTCTCTCTCTCTCTCTCTCTCTCTCTCTCTCTCTCTCTCTCTCTCTCTCTCTCTCTCTCTCTCTCTCTCTCTCTCTCTCTCTCTCTCTCTCTCATATTTTGTAAATGCACCACCGCCTGAAATCTCGGTTCTTTTGGCATATGACTAACGAATTATACACTAAAAACTACGAGTGCAATCGTGATTTCCGACAGTAAACACGATGCTCTGTTTATGTTATACTCCAAATGCAATAAGCTGTATACAGTCTGGTTAGTAATTTGCATCTGTTACCAGATCTTAATATGAATGAAAGACTTATCCTGAAATTAATTTGCTGTTTAATAAATGTGATGCATAATTTCATTTACTACGCCAATGACGACACGAGCTAGTTAAATGTCGTCAAAAAATAATAAGTTAGGCTGAATCACCAATGTCATGTACGTCCTTATCGATGACGTATGCTTCTTGACACCGATGTATGTGCATGTGCTAGCGAACTTTGTACTTATACAAACTGGTTAACTGAACACTGAATAACCGGATAGCTGAGCTGGTTAACCGTCAAAACTTTCATCAGATTCATTAGAAGAGAGAGAGAGAGAGAGAGAGAGAGAGAGAGAGAGAGAGAGAGAGAGAGAGAGAGAGAGAGAGAGAGAGAGAGAGAGAGAGAGAGAGAGAGAGAGAGAGAGAGAGAGAGAGAGAGAGAGAGAGAGAGAGAGAGAGAGAGAGAGAGAGAGAGAGAGAGAGAGAGAGAGAGAGAGAGAGAGAGAGAGAGAGAGAGAGAGAGAGAGAGAGAGAGAGAGAGAGAGAGAGAGAGAGAGAGAGAGAGAGAGAGAGAGAGAGAGAGAGAGAGAGAGAGAGAGAGAGAGAGAGAGAGAGAGAGAGAGAGAGAGAGGAGAGAGAGAGAGAGAGAGAGAGAGAGAGAGAGAGAGAGAGAGAGAGAGAGAGAG